GAACGTCCGTCAAGCAAATCTCGCTGGCAATGTTCTGAAAAGCGAAATTTAGGAAAAGTTTAAAAATTTTTCGAAAAGTTTTTCTATTTTTGGCAGCAAATTTGCAAAAGGTTCTGGAAAACCTCAAAAATGTGCTTACCTGCTGAAGAATGCTGTAGGCGCAAGCCATTCCAACCTGTCCGACTCCCACGATGGTGACCTTGTTGTGGGGCGTGTTTTGGACGGGAGCAATCTCCTGCATGAGCATCTTCACCGTTTCAGACATGTCGCTGGAATGAAAGCAGTTAGACGGAGGATTTGACAAAGAAAATGGCAAGTTTCCCAAAATTAAGCAAATTTCGGTTTTAGTAGACGGAATTTCTGAAAGAAATTTCTACAAAAAATGTCCGTGAGAAAATAAACAAAGGCGCTGCCGAGTTCGACCAAAGCATATATTCTTGGAATTTTTTGAATATGGAAGGTTTCTCTCGGATTTTCATGAATTTTGGACGGGAGCAATCTCCTGCATGAGCATCTTCACCGTTTCAGACATGTCGTTGGAAGGAAATAAGTTAGACGGTGGATTTAGTTTGATTGATACCGAAAATGGAATTTTGCGAATTTTAGCTTAGACTTTGATGACTTCAAAGAATTACATCGTCTTTTAGGTGTTATAGTCTCATTCTAAGCGGTTAGCATAGAGTCAGGATGACGATTTTCTCAAACATTTTTGGGACTTGCCAGGATTGAATTCTTTAGACTAAATTTGCCAGTATTTTAAGAAATTGCCGAGTTTTTGGCCAACTTTCTGGATGGCATAGTCCTACTATGGTATCGGACAGGTTTTTATAGAAATAGGGAACAGGAATAGAAATTTTTTGAAATTTCAAATCTTTCATTATTACAAATGAATTTTTTACCCAAAAATTTTCATTAAAAACAACTAACTTAAATGAAATGAATGAACATATTATCGACCTATCTCCTTTAAGTAGTTTTTTTTAACAAAAAAGAAAATATTTTCCAAGAATCGTACGTGCCAAAAGTCTGTTTTCGGGCAATTGACAAGTCCTTTACTTTTTCTCTATTCAATTTGTTTTCCTGCTTTTGCTCTCAGCTAGCCGACACACACTAAACAACCAATACCGCTCACGGTGGCAGTGTGAAGATAAGGGTAGACGGAATGAAAGCTCATGAGATGGGATCAGACAGACAGAGAGACAGAGAGGCAGAGAGAGAGACAGAGAGAGAGAGAGAGGCAGACAGGCAGAGAGAGAGAGAAGCAGACAGGCAGAGAGAGAGAGAAGCAGACATGCAGAGAGAGAGAGGCAGACAGGCAGAGAGAGACAGAGAGAGGGAGAGAGACAGACAGACAGAGAGGCAGACAGAGAGAGAGGCAGACAAGCAGAGAGAGAGAGGCAGATAGGCAGAGAGATAGAGGCAGACAGGCAGAGAGAGACAGAGAGAGGCAGACAGGCAGAGAGAGACAGAGAGAGAGACAGACAGGCAGAAAGAGAGAGTCAGACAGGCAGAGAGAGAGAGAGAGTCAGACACCCCAAAGCAAAGCCCATAGAACGAAAATATAAGCAAAGAATGAGGAAGTCCCAAGAACTTTGGGCTCAGGTGGTCAGATATATGAGTAGAATCGTGAGAAGCACTTATTTCGAGAGTCTCGAAAATGTAAGTAAGAAAATCGGGCTATATAAAATTCTAACGGTATTCTTAAGGTAAAGTTTTGATACTCACGTATATACACCTAATAGGAGTATAAGAAATAATTCTGAGAAATAAATTTTTTTGAAAGCTACCGCTAGCTTTCTGATTTAGCCTTGGGCGAAATTTTTCATCCTTGCTCCGAGAGGGAGATTGAAATTAAGGTAAATTACAGGTAGAGTAAATGTAATGAAAGCAAATTGCCGGCGGAGTTGATCGTAATTGTGAATAGGGCCCATTAAATTCCAATCTTGGGATCGTAAATTTTTGTATGCAAATGTAACAGTAATAATAATAAAAAAAAACTTACCAAATTTCTCCATTTGAAGCCATTTGGATAAATAATTATGCAGTAGAAAGAATAAATTCGATTGAGAAGAGTTAAATTGTGCGCTGAAAATTAAAAATTTTCTTAAGAAAACATTCCGCAATGACGTTTAGTATAAAAAAGCCGACTGCCAATGAAAAATTCATATCGCAGTTCAAAAACACGGGGACTGGTATCGATCGAAATAAGCAAACGGAACAATGATAGGAAAAACAATTGTGGGAAAAATGGGTTTCCAGGAAAAAATTTCGGTTCGACCCATAAGCTGGCCCGTATCAAATGGGTATTTTAGACAAGATTTGGATTGGAGTAATAGGGACCTGATTTGATTCGGATTCCAGGCCCATTTACTTGGCCCAGCCAATTTTCCAGACCAAGTCAATTTTTCGGACACAATTCAACGAAGAAAATCAGGATCAGGTCGCGAAATCTGTTTTCATGAGACTAATTAGCTTCGCTAGAAGACTTTACTTTCGAATAGAGCCTTAAGGTGTAACTAGCTCAGGCCTTAGGGTATAACAAGCTTAACATTATGGCTATAAAGCATAACAAATACAAACTATAAAAATTATAAAGTTGAAGGAAAAATTCATAAAAGGTCAACCAAATAAATTAAATGACAAGCATTTCATGACCTGGGCTGTACTGTTAGGTCTCAGGATCGAAAAATTAGGGTCACCAAAATTATAATCATCATCATACCAAAGCTAACTATCAAATTTTAACCTAAACTCCGCACTCTAAACTTCCTTGTTCGGACGAATAAATAAAGATTGTGGATAATATTCCAAGGCAAAGTCAGCCCAGATAAGGATTGGCACGTATCACTCCCGCATCTCCCCCTATATATACCCCTCGGAAAGTGGCTCTCCCAGACAGTGAGACATTGCGAAATCCTTATCCGCCAGAAACAAAGGGCAAGTGCCCGACCGGTCATCGGGCGGGCAGATGGCAGACAGACAGACAGAAAGAGGGACACAAGAGAGCGCAAAGAACTCGGAAGGCTATGAATTTGCCTAGCTCTGAACTTGCCTCCCCCTTCCATTTCCACAGGGGTTCGTCAACGCAAGCCGGCCGTATAAGCGGGAAAATGGCTGGGAAGACCTGCTTGGCCGCCCGATTTCGAAACAACCGGCCAGCATCAAACTGAGCCAGCGCTAAACTGCACCCATATGGTTCTGTGAAAGGAAGAAGCTAACATCATAGATCACAGATCACTTTGTAGCTAGCTCCAGGAAGCCTTTGTATTGAATGTGTTATAAAAGCGTTTCTGGATTTTGTTTGAAAAATTTTTAGCGTACCCAAAAATGTTCAAAGTTGATAAGTTGAAACTTTTTGAGACCTAAGGGAAACATGGATTTTTCATTTTTTTGCAACCGGCCAGCATAAAACTGAGCCAGCACTAAGCTGGTTCTGTGAAAGGAAGAAGCCAACATCATAGATCACAGATCACTTTTTAGCTAGCTCCTGGTTTACAATATTATCAATCCCGGATTTGGTTGTACAGCCAAAAATTTTGGGATAAGATCGCCAATGGCCAGAAGCACTTGTATTGAGTGTGTTATAGAAGCATTTCTCGATTTCGTTTGAAAAATGTTTAGCCTACCCAAAAATGTTGCAAAGTCGACAAGTTGAAAATTTTGAGACCTAAGGGAAATATGGATTCTTCAATTTTTTATATTTACAAAAATACGAGTTTTGAAATGCAACTACCGTATTTTCTCTAATTGAAGCCCCGGGGCTTATATTATTTCAATCCACCAAATTTGGGCAAAATTTTTCTCTAACCTCTCATTTTTACACACTATTTCTCTTTCTCTAGGGGGCGTCTTTTTCAGGGGGGCTTCTATTATAGGGGAAGGGCTTCAATTAGAGAAAATACGGTATTTCGGTGAAGATGAAGTCAATTTTTGGAAACGAAATTTTTTCTCTGTGAGATTTTAGGCTGCGGCAGACATTGGCATATTTCGAAACGACCGGCCAGCATAAAACTGAGCCAGCGCTAAACTGCACCCACATGGTTCTGTGAAAGGAAAAAGCTAACATCATAGATCACAGATCACACTTTGGTCAACAATACCGTAAACTCTGTAATTTAACCCCCCCCTCTTGTTTTACCCCCCCTCTAGTTCTGCCCCCCCCTAGAGGTCGATCGAGTAATTATGCCCCCCTCTAATTTTGCCCCCCCAAAATGCAAATTTTTCCAAAAATACCAAAAATTTAAATTTTTGGCGCAAATTCAAATTTTTTGCCAAAAATTAGAATTTTTTACCTATTTTTTACCATTTTTTGCAAAATTTTCCCAAATTTTGCAAAAATTTGCCAAAACTTTGTAAAAAATGGCAAAAATTTCGAAAAAAATTCAAAATTTTTTGGGCGGGAATTCAAATTTTGAGCAAAAATTGAGCAAATTTGAGCAAAAATCCCAAAAATTTTTCGCGCCGCGCCTCCCGCGCCGGGCGAAACCTCCATCGCGGAATTTTACCCCCCCCCTCTATTTTTACCCCCTCTAATTTTGCCCCCCCCTAGAGGTCGATTGAATAATTATACCCCCGGGGGTTAAATTAGAGAGTTTACGGTATATTATTAAGAGCCGCGTCATTTTGGGTTTCGATATGGAAATTGGAAATGGAGAAGAGAATTATGAAAGATGGTATTATGTGATTCAAAGGTTTAAAATTGGGTAAGACTGTGTTGAAATTGTAAAAAATAGTAAGTAAAATTTTTTTAGGTGCAAAGGTTACATTTTTGGTTTAAAATAAATAAAAGGTTTGAAAGTTTTTGGCAAAAAATATTTTTGGGGTATGTTTTAGTACCAATTTTTTGCCCCGAAACACTTTAGGTCAAAGGAATTTTGCGGTAAATTTGTTGGAAACTTTGTAGTTGACAAAATGTTTTGATGGCAAGCACAAAGAGGTTGCATTCCGTTACGTTGACATCTCCTTCATCAAATTCAAAAATAGCGACAGTCCTTTTGTATGGGGCTGTAGCTCAGTGGTAGAGCGCTCGCTTTGCATGCGAGAAGTCCTGGGATCAATCCCCAGCAGCTCCAAATCTTTTTTCAGCATTTTTTGATTATTGAACACTTTTTAAATTCTGTAGAACGAAGAATGTAAAATTTTTTAATAAAGCGTTTAAAAATATAAAAAATGAATTTCCCCAAAAAAGATTTGGAGCGGCTGGGGATTGATCCCAGGACTTCTCGCATGCAAAGCGAGCGCTCTACCACTGAGCTACAGCCCCGTACAAAAGGACTGTCGCTATTTTTAAATTTGACGAAGGAGATGTCAAAGTAACGGAATGCATCAGTGAGCGAAAAATTCTTTGCACCAAAATGTGCTCTTTTTGTACCAAAGATATTTTTCTTGCAGTAAATACAATACCAAAAATGTGTAACAAAGATTAAAAATGCGCTGTTTTGTTTCTTTTTAACAAAATTGTAAAAAATAGCTAAAAAAAGTTCAAAAATGGAAAATTTTCAATTCTTATCATTTTTGGGTCATTTTTGATAAATGACATTTTGTGAAAGTCTTAGAGTACAGTGTTGGCTAAGAGCTTAGAGTAAACTTCAACTACAGAGTCGATTGTATCTGATAGCTTTATGTTATTTTCATTCCTGAGATTCGATCCAGAAACATGTCAAATTAATATGCTCCGTTATGCAAAACAATTTCGCAACATCGTTCATTGAAGAGAGACATCTGCCAGGTGCTACTTACCTTTCCCATCTGCTCTTCGCTTTATTGCCAGCCTTGGACCCATTTTGGCAAATCATAACGGCCTCGGATGCTAAGAAACGCGAGAAAACTCATTTGCATAAACAAACAAATGCAACAATTGTGGCCAGGAAATCCTTCACCACCATCCAGGAAATTCGATTAAAACCGCAATGACACTTGTCAAATGTCTCTGCTTTATGTTTTCAGACATTTCTTTTCAAAATTTTCGGTATTCGCATATGCAAAAAATAAATTTTGGTATTGAACTTGCGCAACAAGGTAGTATCCTAAGGAATCCATTCATGACTAAAGACCCCAAAAATATTTTTTTTAATTCCGGTTTTAATTAATTAAAATATTAAAAAAAATCGCAAAATATTTAAAAAAAATATTTTTTTAAATAGCTATTTTTTGCCGATTCTAGACTTTAATTCTGCTTTTTTAGCCTTCATTGTTACTTCAGACTAAATTAAAAGTAAAAATTCAACAAAATATAACAAATTTTGGAAAAAAAACGGCAAAATAAAAAAAAATTTTTTGAAAAATTTTGTAAAAAAAATTTTCCGGCAAAATTTTGTGGTAAAATTTCTCCGCCGAAAAAAATTTCGCGGCGGCCTTCGGCCGCCGCGAAAATTTTGCCAAAATATCACAAAATTTGTCCAAAAATGCCAAAATATTTACTAAAATATAAGTAAAATTCCCAAAATATGCAAAATATTTTTTAAATAAAAAAAATATTTTAAAAATATTTTAGTTAAAAAAAGGCCAAAATATTTTAAAAATATTTTTTTTATTTTAAAAATATTTTTGGGGTCTTTATTCATGACCCTAAGGAATCCATTCATGACCCTAAGCAATCCATTCATGACCCTAAGCAATCCATTCATGACCCTAAGCTATCCTTTCCTGATCCTAAGCAATCCTTTTCTGATCCTGGGCAATCCTTCTCTGATCCTAAGCAATCCTTTTCTGATCCTGGGCAATCCTTCTCTGATCCTAAGCAATCCTTTTCTGGTCCTAAGCAATCCATTCATGACCCTAAGGAATCCATTCATGACCCTAAGCAATCCTTTTCTGATCCTAAGCAATCCTTCTCTGATCCTAAGCAATCCTTTTCTGGTCCTAAGCAATCCATTCATGACCCTAAGGAATCCATTCATGACCCTAAGCAATCCTTTCCTGATCCTAAGCAATCCTTTTCTGATCCTAAGCAATCCTTTTCTGGTCCTAAGCAATCCTGACCTCAGGGGAAGTGATCTGTTACCTGTGAAATCTGTTAATCCAGAAATGTGATCGACCGAAAATCAGATTGTTCAGAAGTTCTCCGCAAGTCCTATAATCCTAGAAATTTTCGATACCTATCACATTCGTACGAATTTTGTTAATATTAGTTCCGAAACTCCTAATCCGGAAAATGTTCGGCGAGATGAAACAATTTTTTCCAATCTGGAAACAGTAGTCTGGAACCTTTCAAACTTTAGAAATCATTGCATTGAATACCAAAATTTGGGTTTCAATTTTTTCGGTGATTTTCTGGACAAAAAATTACAAATTTCCAAGATTTCTGTGAATTGTGACCAATTTATGCAAATCTGTTAGTTGGCTTTTGCCACATCCGGTAATTTTTGGTTAGTGAATGCTCATCGGAACAATTGCTCGGGAACAGATGGCTTAGGCTTAGGTCAGTCAATGCCATGTTGGACATTGTTAAATTTGTCCTTTGCCCTTTTAATTAGCACTCCCTTTATGATTCGCCTCTGTTCGCGTGTTCATTATTTTTTACTCTCTCACCAAAGCGGATCCAGGAAATATTTCTTTGCCGTTTACGGATTTTATCTTACATTTTTTATATAAACTTAGGGTATACTTTGCGCGCGCAATTTAAACTTTTGGTCACTTTTCTGCCAAAATGGGCACTTTTTTGAATGTGCGCCTCCCCCAGAAAACTGTAAATTATTACAGTTTTGTTGAACTGTGCAATTTTTCGCTTTTCCGGACCAAAATTTTAATTATTTTAATTAATTATTTCACTCCCCCAAATTTTGCTAAAATGTTTCTCTCATTTTTACATATTTTTTCTCTAACGTGGGAGCTGAATTTTAGGGGCCTATATTAGAGGAAATACGGTAAGCCATGTGCAAACTTGTCATATCTATGACACATCTTTGATCCCGACTTTCTCCAACCCCCCCACCCCGGTTCAGATCAAACCGTTTTGTCGCCAGCCGAGAATCAGAAACTGTTTGCCCTCATTGGCCAGACCGGTCCTTGTTTGTCATTGTCAACTCTCCTCTGAGCATTGCTGGTGGGTGTGCCCTCTTCGGTTTACCATTGCGGTGACAATAACAAGCACTTGAGCATTATTTGGCACAGCGCTCAGTTTAGTGTTCCGTTAGTCGAGATTCGTTCACAGCAAGACCGCTTTGGGGTTAGCAATAGCCTCGGAAAATTATGTATGCGAGCGCTAAATGTCATAAAATCTATCGATCTGAGGTCATACCGTTAGAGTAACGTTAGTCTATGGTCAGATCGGGAATATAGCGTCTATAGCCATGGACAGAAAAAAATTTCGGGAGGGGGTTGAGATTTCAGGGGGTTGAGAAGTGAAAAAAACACATTCTTAGGAGTGCATTTTTCAAAATTTTCTCCAAAATTTTGAAAACTATAGGGGAACCCTATGGTTTTTAGCTTCCGAATTTCGGGGAGGGGGTTATAACCTCCTAATACCCCCTAGTCACGGGCCTGATAGCCTTGGAATTTTATGGTCAGAGATGGATCCTGGAAGCTTGTTTTAGATCCTGAATAAATTTTTTTGGTTATTTCTTAAATGTCACCAGTTTTTTATCCCAGGGCTGTTCTTTTTTTGCCGGATGTTTCTCCAGGACCTACCCATGTATTGATATGCCGTATTTCCTCAAATTAGGCCCCTATAATTAAATCCCTCCCCTTTGGAGGGATATTGAAATAATTAAACCCGGGGGCTTAATTAGAGGAAATACGGTATATTGAACTTTTTTACCGGGAAATATCCCGGGGTATCCTGGGAAATGCCCTCGAGGGATGTTCACTTTAGTAACATTTGCACTTTAAACTCTGGAAGCAAAAAATGCATTTTTCGTACACTTTTTTCTCTTTACTCTTCTCGCCAACTCATTTTTTTCCAATTTCTCCCCACTTCTTCCAGAAGAGCCCTCCTTGGACCGAAATGAAACTTTGCTTTCGGCATCAAGTCTCTCTGTATTGAAAGTCTTGGTACCAAATCTCGAGTCCATAGTTCATTTGTTTCAAACAAACCAATTTCGGCGCCACTCGATGTCAAGTCAAAAGAGTCTCAGGATGGCATGGGTCATCCAGACAAGCCAGCGGTCACCCAAATTCCTCAAGAGTCTTCATCAAGAACCGGAGGAATGCCCTTTTAAGGAATGCTCTTTTGGCCAAATGAGGAAGAAGAGAAGACCCCTGGGTGAAATTAACCATCAAGAGCCAACCCACAGGGCCGAACTTGGACCAGTCCCGTTATTCATTAGGGCCGGAGATGGAGCCTTCAATGGGATTTAAGGATTGTTTTGACCGATATCCGGATGTTTGGGACCCAGATTCCCAAATTTTTTGTATATTTTTCCACATTTTTCGAGTTTTTCAAAATTTTTCGCCAGTCAAGTCCTGTGGATCTTTGAAATCTCGACTTCTATGAAACTTTTCACCACTCCAAAAATCCGAGATACATATCCGAAATCCGAAAATCCCAATCTCGCGCAGCTACCATTCAAAGTCCATCCAAAAGGTGTTCACGGAGAATATGGACCTTTTTTAGGAACTTAAGCTTAAGCTTAAGTCTAAGTCTCCCTATATCCTAAGTGCTAGTCTTGGTTTAAGCTCAAGAACGACCCTAAGGGCTCATAGGACTCTTAAGGCTAGGAAAGGTGTGCCAAAGTTGGACATCCCAGAAAGGAGTCCATGGAACTTTCTCACCACCTCAAAATCCCGAGATCCGTATCCGAAATCCGAAAATCCCAATCTCGCGCACCCACAATTCAAGGTCGGCCCAAAAGGTGTTCCCAGGTATTTTTTACCTTTTCCAGTAACTTTTCATTCCACTGTACAATTCTCATCTAGCCCACATTCTTGACCATAAAACTGACCACCCTGACTATATACGATTCCTAAGGCAGTGTTTCAGCTGGCTCATAACCTTTGATGATCTAATCCTTCCTTTGGCAACTCTCTTTGGCAACATTCAGCTGCTTTTGCCTCTGCTCTCGAGTCTCGACTCGATGGCCAGTTAATTATTCAACCAACTCCCTCTCCACTACATCATTCATTAATTATGCTT